GTAAGCTTGATGGTTGCCTTAAAGGTAGTATTTAGTATTAAGAGAATATTATTTTAGAGAGAAGGAAGAAAATGTTACTAATTTCAATTTTTTTCACAGTAGGGAACCAAAAGAGCTGCACTATACAACATGTTGTCCACCAGTTGCATTTGGCTATTTAAACTAGTTAACATTAAATAAAATTTAAAATTAAATTTCTCAATCATACTAGCCATATTTAAAGTGCTCCACAGCCACATGTGACTACTACATTAGAAAACACAGATACAGAACAGGTCTGACATTATAGAAAGTTCTTTGGACAATGCTACAACAGACAGCATTTTTTTAAAAAGTGCTAAGGATATTACCCTACGATATTAGTATAAAGGTAACTAGAGCAAAACTGCCAATACCAAGAGAAATACTAAAAAAGAATTTAGAAAACATATCCCACAGAGAAAAATTTTATATGTATGTAAAGACAAACATAAAATACTAAAGCCAAATATATCAGACTATCAATAACTGAAAATGAGTTTAATTTGCCAATTCAAAAAACACACAGCAAAATCCAACTCTATTAACACACACATGAATGAACTTGTCTAAGACAAAAAGATTCAGAAAGATTTAGATAAAATGATGGTCAAAAATATGCCAGGCAAATGTAAATTAATAAAAACAAATGCACCCAGATCATAATCTGTAACTGACATGGTAGAAATCTAGCCACAAACCACTGAAAGACAGACGAGCAGACTTCATACTGCTAAAGGCTACAATTCACAAGATAAAACAGTCAACATTTATGCAGCCAATAACACAGCAACAACTTTATGATGCATAAACTACCAGAGATTAAAGAAGAGGGAAATATATTACTAATAGAAAACATTAATGTATTTTTTTAGGATGAGATAGATTAGATGGATAAAATTAATCTTGACAAACATGTAAAGTCTAAACAATACTAACAATAGAGCAGAAATTTGTATCTCTCCACCTAGTTGAGAGAAATGCCCTTTTTTCAAATGCACATGGAATAATTGTGAACATTGAACACAGTGGGCCACATGAGAAATGCCAATAATTTTTTAGAAGTAAACATAGTATCCTGACCTCAATGCAATAAAACTAGAAATTAATGACAAAAATCAGAATACAAAAGGCCCTTCTACTTGAAAATTTAAAACACCCTCTTAAATACTTGACAAGACTAAGGAAAATATTTTAAAAATGCAGAATTTCTTGGACATAACTAAAAATGACATAGAATCTATGGCATATAAATGACACAGTGGATATAAGAAAATTTGTGATGTTAAAAACCTGTGACACCAAAATCAGGGACATCACAATAAGAGAAAACTACAGACCAATATCTCTTATGAATATTGATCTAAAAATCCCTAACAAAATACTAGCCACAGATAAAAAAGATTATAGACCATGTGGGATTCATCCCAGGAATTCAAGGTGGTTCAACATATAAAAAAATTAATGTAATACACTATATCCATAAAGGACAAAAGCCACATGATCACTTTAATAGATGCAGAAAAAGCATTTGACAAAATCCAACATCCCTTCATGACAAAAACACTCAATAAACTGGAATAGAACTTCCTCAATTTGATAAAGGACAGTTATGAAGAAGCCACACCTAATGTCACATCTAAAAGTAAAAGATGAAGCTTTCCCGCTAAGATCAAGAACAAGGCAAGGATGTCTGCTCTCACTATTTCTGTTCAACGCTGTACTGGAGGTTCTAGCCAGGGCAATTAGGCAAGAATACAAAAGAAAATCTTCAAGATTGGAAAAGAAAAGTAAAATAAACCATCACTCATACTTGTTAGTATAGCCATTATTAAAAAAAAGAAGACAACCAAATTCTGGTGAGGATGTGGAAAAATTAGAACACTTGTGCACTGTTCGTGGGAATATATCATAATGTGGTATAACTATTGTGGAAAACAGTACTGAGGATCTTCAAAAAATTAAAAAAATAGAACTACCATATGGTCCAGCCATCCTACTGCTGGGTATTTACCCGAAAGAATTAAAAACAGGATCTTGAACTGGTATTTGCATTCCCATGTTCATTGCAGCATTATCCATAACAGCCAAGAGGTGGAAACAACCTAAATATCCATTGGTGGATGAATGAATTAAAGAAATTGTGGTGCATTTATAAAATGGAATCTTATTCAGCCTTAGTAAAGGAGGAAATCCTACCGTATGTTATAACATGGATGAACCTTAAGGACATCATGCTAAGTGAAAGAAGCCAGTCACAGAAGAACAAGTACTGCATGATTCCACTGACGTGAGGTAGCTAAGGAGAAAAGAAATGGTGGTTGCCAGGGGCTAGGAAGAGGAGGAAGTGGGGAACTACTATTCAATGAGCATAGAGGTTTTTTTAGTCATGCAAGACAAAAAAGTTCTAGGTATCTGCTGTACAATAATGTTCTTATAATTAAAAATACTGTTCTGTACACTTAAAAGTTTGTTATGAGAGATTTCATTGAGGTGCTTTTTTAATAATAAAAAAGGATAAGTTACTTTGGAAATCAATTTAACAAAATAAATGTAAAGTCTACATTCTGAAAACTGTAACACGATATTGAAAGAAATGAAAGAAAATGTAAATAGGCCGGTGTGGTGGCTCCAGGATCCCTTGGGCCTGGTGTTTGAGACCAGCCTGAGCAAAGTAGAGGGACCCCATCTCTATGAAAAATTAGCTTGGTGTAGGATCGCTTGAGCCCAGGAGTTCGAGGTCACAGTGAACTACGGTGACGCCACTGCACTCCAGCCTGGGCATCAGAACGAAACCCTATGACTAAACAAATTAAAAACTGCAAAAAGAAAAGAAAATATAAACAAATGTATATGTAATAAAATATGTATGAGGGAAATTATGAAGTATTTAAAATACCTCAGCAAAATACCGAATCCCAACTGCGAGTGGGGAAACGGGAAACAAGATCCGCGTACACAGACCCATCGCGGAAGCTTCTCCGTCAGACGCGGACGCATACCTTTGCGCCTCCATGTCGCCCCTTCTAGAGACCTCAAGAATGCTGGTCCTGTGACTAAAGCCTTCCTGTTCTGCCTCATCGGGTTGTCCCTTTCTGCAGATTTTCTTTCACCACGCACACACAGGCTTCATTAGCTCCTGCCTAAAATACCCTCAACACCTCGCCTCGAACCCGCGGCAGGCTGGCTCTCCTCACCACGCCACAGGGCTCTGCCCACTCACAGCATTGAAACTCCCGACAAGGTCCCCATCCGGCTCCGTGTGGCCAAATCCAATGGCCGCTTCCCTTTTTCTCTTTACTCCTGCCCTAACAGCATGCTCCTCCGCTACCCACTGCCTCCTCCTTTAAAACACATTCTCCTCTTGCTTCCAAAGAAGCCCTCTCTCTGTAAGTGGCCTCAGGCCCAGGGCTTTAATTATCATTTTAAAGACCCTCAAATTTGTTTTTTTTTTTTGGTCCTGACCTGAGGGCTAGGTCCACATTCCATTAACAGCCTATCAACACTTCCAACAGGAGGTAGCACAGCTATCTCCAACGTAACAGGCCTACAATAGAACTCCTGATTTTGTCCCTTGCCCAACTTACACCTCCCCCACCTCAATGAATAGTGCCACTGTCCACTCCCCCATTCCAGCCAAAACCCTAAAGTCTCGTGGAAAACAGATTCTGCGTTACATTAAGTTATTAGGGCCACTTATTATTCTTTTAGTAAGAAATCCTTTTGCTATGTTCTTAATTTCCACAGCAAATTAGATCTGTAGGGCACTTGCCTCTTGAGAATCTAGCTCCCTCTTTCTCGAGGGCCAATCCTAAATACCTCTCCAGACAGGAACTGCTTTAGCAGCTGACCTAACTCCCTGCCACGTGACCCTGTTCTATTTCCTTCTGGGATTTTGCACGTTCTTTTTACCTTTTTTCCAGAACAAAGTCTGCATGTGAGCAGGGCCTTTGTTTTGTTCATTCCTATGTGTGAAGCACCCGGCACAGTTCATGGCGGTGGTCAAATATTTGGTAAACAAAAGAATCTTGCAAAAGAACCTTCCTCTTCCTGGGCCTCGGTGTTCCTATTCCTGAGATGGCTGGCTGACCTTTGATGTCCCTCCTGCTCTGACATTCTCCTGCTCTGTCCCCACCGAGGCGTCTGTATAGTAACTGCCTCCACAGACCAAACTCTCACACTGCCATGCACGGTGCTCGCAAGAGTCACAAACCCTGTCACACGTGGTGTCGATGTTTCTTCTCCGTCTAGTGCCAGGTAGAAGGCTGGGATCAGAGATTATAAAATGGGAGCAGTAGTATAGCATGTTTCTCACACGCCTGATTTCACTCACATTATCCCCCTGAATGCTCAGAACCACCTTCTAAGTCTCACTACCCCCGTCTCTGTGATGGGGAGGCTGTCAGTGGGAGGACAAGGATTGCACACAGAACGGATCTTGTCTGGAAGTCATCCCCTAGTGCTATCTGGGGTCCTGCTGCCTGCTGAGGAGCTGCAGGAGGGCAGGTCACAGGAGGCGGGAAGGGAGACTCAGGTTGGGGCCTGAGTGGTCCGGGACAGTTCCAGGCAGGAGGGGCTCCTGCCGGGATTGAGAGCGGAGGAAGAAGCCTCCCCTGCAGGGACAGAGCCTGGCGCGTGCCTGGGTGAGGAGGCGGCAGCGCTGGCTGGGGCAGAGGGCATGTCAGGGGCAGGTGGGCAGGGCCAGACGGAAGGGGATCTTGAATACCAGGAGCTGCGGACAGTTTCCCGAGGTCAGTTATTCCAGTGGTTCTCAAAGCATGCCTCCAAGAACACTGGGATTTTGAGTGTTAGGTTATATGGAAAAAAATAAAATCCAGCCTTATTGCCGAAATAACAGAAATACATAAAAATCATGAATATTCTTATTTGGTGATTGCCTGTTCTCACTTCTCTCCACTAGGACCTAGGTCAAGGATGAAAACTGATTGAGCACAGAGTTAGATGAATTGTCTTACATTTAATTTAATCAATCAACACCATGAAGTGTTCATGCGACACACAACTTCACAACACCGGGAGAGTGGGGGGGGGGGACCCGATCTCTATCCCTTCTGAAGGTGGGCCACCTGAGGGCTCATCCGAGGTGCTTGCGTGCCCTGCTTCCCGCTCTGTCCACGGGCTGCGGAGCACTGAGCACGGATGCGGGCTCCTCTCAGGCCTTTCCTTGAACTGCAACTGAACTTGTGAGGGCGGGTGTGGCTTCTGCAAGCATGTGGGTGTGCAGGACAGAGCCATGTGACACAGCTGGTCCAGGGTCCCAGAGGCCCGGCTCAGGCAGACAGGCCCTGTTCCCAGAGGTGCACGAAGCTGAACGACCAGAACAGGAGCGCCCTGGGCGCGCAGCATGAGACGCTAGTTGCCGGGAAGGCCAGAAGGGAAAGAGAAAGGCTGAAAACCATCAGCCAACTGAGAAAGCCGGAGGCACAGGTATCGCTGGGGCACCTGGAGGAAGCTGTACCGACCGGGTCCTCCCCGGTGCCATCTGCCAGGCAGGCGGCAGTGCTGAGGGCAGAGGGGGGCCGAGTGGCCTGCAGGCAGGTCCCGCAGGCCCTGGGTAGGGCCCATCCTCCGCCTGTCCGTTTCCTCCAGACCCCAGCGTGGTGAGGAGAACACGGGTGGCAAACGAAGGCGAGCACGAGCACAAACGTCCCCACGTAGGCCAGCAGGACTCTGGCCCTGGTGGGAAAGGAGACAGGAACTTCTAGACCTGGGAAGAGACAAGAGGAGACAGGATCAGAGCAAGGGCCGAGCAGCGGTGAGGGCGGCGCTGCTGGGCGAGTCTGGGGTCAATGCTGGCCCCCGGGGCCGAGGGCTCGAGTCTGAGCCAGTGCGAATTACAAACAGGGCAAGGGGCGCGGGGTCAGAAGACCTGGATTTGAAACCTGGCTCTGCAGTCTGGACAAGTCCCTGTACTTCCTCAAAACTCGTTGTTGTAGCCAGTAACAGGCAATGACACTCAGGTTGGCTGATGTGATGACCGAGCCACGGTAAACGAAAGTGCCGCCGCAGCCTGCCGGGCACGGCTCAGACGCGTGCAGCTGTGATGAGGGGCTGCCTAGAAAACTCTGGCTCCCGAAGTGGTAAAGGAGAGACACAGGTGCTTGTCCCTCTGCTGGGGACCCTCAGAGGAGGGGTTAGCACTGCCTAAGCGCCTTCCTTCTGACCTGGCCACTCTGGACTAAGGTGTCAGCCCCAGTGGTGCTCACCGTGTCACTCCGACGCCAGCTTCTCGAGGAGCAGGTCCTCTGTGTCACTGAGCTGAGAGGAGGAGAGAGAGAAGGGGAAGATTAGACAGAGTGTCCAGGGAACAAACGCTGCCCCATTCCTCACTCCTGCCACTCCCACAAGCCTGGAGCAGCAGGTGGGAAGCTGTGTGTAGGGACTTCAGGAGCCCTGGGAGACCGCCCCGCCTCCCGCCAGCCCCCACCCGCCTGCCCCCTGAAGAGGGCTGCCTGCTGCCGAGGGGGCTGCTGTCAGACACCTCAGAGGATCTGACTTCTCTCTAATCCAGTCCTTTAAAGATGTGCACTTGTAAATTCTCCCCATTATTTTAGCTTTTGGTGCAGAGATGGAGGGAATAGATCCACCACTGAGGCCAGATGAGGGGAGGGGAAGAGGCCCCCCCAAGATCACCTCTGGGGGACACACACTCGCCTTGACATGGTACACTATGCGCCAGAAACTGGAGTCCGAGCCTCGGTATCTCTCCCCAGGGTACAACTGCCACATCAAAGGCAGCAGGCCGGGCAGCAGCTGGCTGGGGCGCAGAGGCTCCCCCAGGGGGACATCTTTCTGACGCAGGAGCACTTGGAGCTCGTCCTCTGTCTGAAGAGAAGACAAGACCAGGCATACCTTCAGGCCCAGCTTGCCGGGGCTCCTCTGGGCACAGAAAACCAGAGTCCGTCCTGTCCCCCACCCGGCCCACGTCCAGAGTGTGGGATGCCGGCGATCACCATCCCCTGAAGCTCAAGTCCCTACGCCATGCCTACTCCTCTCAGGGACCCTGGCTGGACAGGGACGACCAGCACACACGTGTCTAGCCACCCAGACAGGGCCACAAAAGGCAGACTCTTTCCCTGTCGCTGGGTATGCCCTGGAGCCAGTGAGCTTCCTAACAATGCAATTTGGTGCCTTTCAGCTGTCATGGGATTTCTGTGATTTTTCTGTTTTGTCCTATTTTTCCTCTTTTAAATAAGCTGTCCCTGGACCCCTGAATGTGGTGACAGACCACTTTTCACCAACTCCACCACTGCCCCTCCAGCCTCGTCTCTCACCCGGACCACTGTAACAGCCTCCTAACTTGCCACCTTGTGGGTGTCGTCCCCACAACCAGTTCTCTGGTCTGCAGTCACAGCGAGTGTCTACAAGTCATGGCACTTCCCTGCTAGACGCCCGATGCCTTCAGATAGCTTCCTGTCATGGGCGGAACGATTTGAATTCTTTACCACAGCCCACAGAAGCCCACAAAGAACCATGTGGAGCCCTGCCTCCCTCATCTCCCACTGCTCTGGTCTTCACGCTCCAACCTGTTCCAGCCACACAGCTCCTTGCTGTTTCTGGGACCTGCCACACTCGCGCCTGCTTCCAGCAATCCCTTGAGCCTGCTGTGCTCTCTGCCTGCGACACCCTCCCCAGATCTACGTAGGGCTCGCTCCCTTCTTTTAGGCAGGTCTCTGCTCAAATGTATGTCTATTAAAGACAAATACAACATAAAATCATGATAGAAGAAAGACCAGACATACCAATAACTGAAAATGGGGCTCATTCACCAATTCAAGGGGAAAAAAACTCAGCAACATCCAACTCTATGACATACATAAGGGGCATGCCCCCAAAAAAACGATTCAGAAGGATTACAAACAAAATGATGGGCTAAAATGTGAAAAGCAAATGCAAACAGATTCTGAGAGGGGAGTACCTTGGCTGAAGATCTCCTCACCACTGGTCATTGCCTTTCACCCATTTCTACAAACTCTAGTTCTACAAACTGACCACCAGCTTCATTGTTTTGTTGTCTGTCTCCCAAGTAGAATGGCAGCTTCACAAGTACTGGGGATTTTATCCCATTTGCTGCAGACCTCCCCAGCCTAGAACCTCACCTGGCATATAAACTAGGCATTCACATTTGTTCAATGAGTATTTTTCCAAAATAGGAGTCACTTTTAAAAAAGATTTCTGTCTATGAAATAAATTAGAACTCACCGTTAAAAAACAATTCAGATCCTACTGCAAGGTATAGGTGTGAAAATCACCATTCTTGCTGTGTTAGTATATATTCTTCCATATCCTTTAATCATTTTTAGTTTGCATTATTTATCTGTTTCTTGATGATTTAAGTAAATCTTTATATATTAAGAACACTGGCCCTTTAGATTACGTGAGAGAAAACCTGCCCCAAAGTTTGCTGATGGGTTATTTTTCATGAGGCATTTATCATGATTACAGGAAATACTCTTGTCTAGTTCGTGGCTTCAGTGTTATGTTGAAGATATTTACCAACCAGAGGGTAAAAACTGATATTCACCTAAATTTTCTTCAAATACATTACTTAAAAAAAAGTTAAATATTTGACTTGATTTTTAAAAGGATATGCATATGACTTAAAAATTTTAATGTCAAAAATGCAAATTTAGATGGTGATTAAGAGCCTGTAATTCCAACCCTATTACCTATTAGCAGTACTACCTTGGACAAGTTTACATGCCTCAGTTTCCTCATCTATAAAATGGAGACATCCTTAACACTCAATAACGTTTTGGTGTTCGCTATTATGTTACATAAATGTTCTAATATTATACATTTTAACTTTAAATTTTACTTTTTTCAGTTTATGTACGGAAAGAGTTTCAACATTTTTTGCCTCCGCTTCTTTGAGTCTTGGGTTTAGTCAAGAAAGTACTCATAAAAGAGTTACATGTCTTTTAAAAAAAGTTAACATTAACTGAAGTCCCACCTTAAGGCATCATGCATAAAACAAAGTCAACAGCCGAGCGTCATGGCTCACGCCTGTAATCCTAGCACTCTGGAAGGCCAAGGTGGGAGGATCGCTCTAGGTCAGGAGTTCGAGACTAGCCTGAGCAAGAGCAAGACCCCATCTCTACTAAAAACAGAAAGAAATTAGCAGGACAACTAAAAAAATATATATATAAAAAATTAGCCCGGCATGGTGGCGCATGCCTGTAGTCCCAGCTACTCTGGAGGCTGAGACAGAAGGATTGCTTGAGCCCAGGAGTTTGAGATTGCTGTGAGCTAGGCTGGCGCCAGGGCACTCTAACCTGGGCAAAAGAGCCAGATTCTGTCTCAGAAAAAACAACAAAAAACCCCCACCAAAGTCAACATTTATTTAAAACCAGCTTTTATGCTACTATATTACTTGTTAATATTGCTGTTCCAGAGCATAGAGGAGGCACAAAATACCCCACACTCTACAGCAGCGGTTCCTGCACTCGGTTGATCATAATCCGTTGAGGGTTCTTTTTAAAATACGTATTTCTGGAGCCAGAATCACCTAAGGAGATTCTGATAACCAGCCACACGTATCAATCGCTTACTTTAGAGATATTACTTCCATCGTGTGCATGAGCACATAGCCCAGCAGAGTCCTGTTTTAGGCAAGATCACAGTCACGCACTCCAGAAGCACTGGGTCCCACCCTTTGTCCAGCATGACTCTGGGGTCTTCCCACCCTCCTTCCTGGCCCGGAGGACTCCTATTCATCCTTCAGAGCCTGGCTCAAAGTGGTTTCACCTGTAGGCACGCCCGGGCAGACCTGGCCTTCTGAGCCTCCCTGCCCCCGCCCTCACCCTGCCGGCCGGGAGGGGCTCCTCGCGGGCTTGCCTGTCCTGGGACGTCCGCAGCTCCCGGGGCCCAGCCAGGGAGGGCGAGGCCCCTGCTGCCCCTCGCGAGCCGGCCCCAGAGCGGGCTGTACCTCGATGATTATGGACAGCCAGGTGCGCCGGTTCTCATCCATATACACGGCCTTCTCCCAGATCCACAGGCGGTCCGGGTACAAGGTCGGCTGCACCCCGCACGGCCGGAACTCGCCCATGGCGCCCGGGCGGACTAAAAAGCAAGAGGCTCAGCCTCCCAAGGCCACTTGCTGCTGAGGGGGCCGCGCGGGGCCGAGGCTTTATAGCCCCACCGCGCGCGGACGCCCCCAAGCGGTGGGGCGGGAGGAGGGCGCCGCACGAGGCAGGATGGGGCGGGGCGAGGGGCGGGGCGCAAGGCAGGATGGGGCGGGATAGGGGCGGGGCGCAAGGCCGAGTGGGCGGGGCGGCAAGCAGGGTCCCAGGCCCGCCATGCAGCCAGGCCTGACTTGCTGCCTGAAACCCTGGCAGCTTGTAGGAATGCACTCCCAGCCTCAGCAGGCCCCCAGCCAGCCTTGCCCTCCGTCCCGCATGCCCCACTACTGGAGAGGTGCCCTACCGGTGGCCTTGGTCCTCTCTTCTGTTGGGAGGCGCTGCGGCCCTGGGACCCTGCTGTCCAAGTCAGCCACTGTGTCATGCTCAAGCCACACCCCTGACCAGGCCTCTGGGCCTCTGCTCTGGACTCACGGTCGACGCCGAGCAACCCGGAGCCTGGGCCTCCTCTACATCTCCTGGGATCCGGAGACCCGTGTGAGCCAGAACCGGGCCTGGGCTTTCCCAGGTTCACTGGATCACCCTCAGCCTGTGCTTTTGAGTGTCAGAATCAATTTCTTTGCAAAGTGCAACTCTTGACGCTCCCCCTTCCTCTCCCACACACAAGGCTCTGATGATGCTGTGGTCATCTAATAGCTATTATGAAACATGGTGGTGAAGAAACATGGGTTTTTCCCTTCAGGCTTTGAATTTATTAGTGAAAGCATGGTTCAAAATGAGTACTTAAACCCCTCCACCCCAAGATCAATGGATTTGAAAGTCCCAGGGTTATAGGATCAAAACCATCTCTCTCTAAATTACAGCAAACAAGGAAAACAATTTCATTTTATTTTGCAGTAATGCATGCCCATTAAGACAATTAGGAAAGGAAAGCACAATGAGAAACATGTAAAACCAGTTCCACCCTTTGTTGCTCAAACATCACCACTGGTAGCAGTTTGGTGCCTAACTTTCTTGTTCCTTCCCATCTCTATGACTAGGCGCTAAGAAAATACTTTGTGATCTTTTGAAATGTCACAAAAGGGGAAATGAAAGATCAGATGAGGACACCTGGTTCACTCTGCAGGTGAGTATCTCGGCCTTGCTGCCTATCCAGACAGCCTAATTCTCAAGGAGGTACTTAAGTAGCCTAAGGTAATTGAGATGTAATTGGATCTACCAGGAACACAAAATAAAAGATAAAAGCGAAGCAAAGTTGGGGGTGGAGTGAGGGGCCACAAGCCCAGCAAACTTCTTTCCCGTGCAGCCCTTAGTGGTGTTATTATATAATATTCAAGCTTGTAGCTTTCAGGCTGATTTCCCTATGGATTGCTCCTGATTCCAGACATAGATAACCACACAGCAAGATGAAAAAAGCTCTGGACTGGACTTGGTAATAAGCTCTGCTGGGGAAGTCTCAGTCCAGTCCAGAGCTTTGAGGTCAGAAATGATAAGTTCAATTTAAACAGTGCTGTTGGGATAGCCTTTTGTGGCCAGAGAAGGGGGTACTCAGGAGCCAGTAGGTTCCCTAACCCTAATCCAGCAACATCGATGGCCTTGGGACACAGAATGCCATTGAATTTACCAATTTCTTTTTAATTAAAAACTTGATTTTATTTTTTTTTTTTTTTTTTTTTTTTTTATAGATGAGGTCTCACTATGTTGCCCAGGCTGGCCTGGGCAACACTCTTGGTCTCAGGTGATCCTCAGCCTCATGAGTAGCCGGGACCATGGGCTTGCGGCTACCCTTGGCTTGAATTTGCCAATTTCATTCACACTGGCTCTGGTTTGCTAAGAGGTCACGAAGAAACAGACAAAGGAGCAGCAATCAGATTCATTTGGCTAGGTAAGCTGACTGTTCCAGGAATATGATTCCTTTCTCCCCCTATTTGAGAGAACAATTTATTTCAATTTTGCATGAGGGCTTCTTATTATTGAGCAAGAGTGTACATCATTCTTGTGTGGGATTTAGAAAATTGAGAAAGGGTTCCAAAAAATGAAAATGAAATAAGGATGACTGAGGAGTTCATTGGGCAACTTATGAAGGCCTTGAGGCTTTTTTAGGGACACTCCACAGGAGAGGAAACAATAGCTAGTGTGTGGTCTCAGAGAGGAGGGGGAGCTATCTGCCCCTTCTTAGAGCTGTAACACCAGTCAGCCTAGCTTTAGAATTTTAGGTTCCTTCCTGAGTCTCTTTTAATCGGTAAGTTCCCTGAAGATAAGCAAATGGATGTTGCACTCGAAAGTTGCGGGAAACAAATCATTTTGACAGAATCCTCCACTGATGTTTCCACATCTTGATTTAGATTTAGTTTTGACTTTACCACTGTCCCCTGTGAACTTGGCAAATCCTTCAAAACAACTGAGCCTCAGTGCCACACTTTTGTCATGAATGGGCCAAACTAGATGCTCTCTAAGCCTGTTTCTAATCCAACAGTCCCTGATCCTCTGGCAAAGTTGCCTAGTTGGGGAGGGAATGGTGAACAGAAGAGACGGACATAGTCATGACATTAGTTTAGGAAAGCCTACGGCTTTGAGCACAGTGGAATTCACTCTTCAGGAATGAGGAAGCCATCCTTCTTGTGTGGGTAACACAGAAGGGGTTGAGGGTAAGTCATGGCCATCAGGATGACCTAGAGCCTTGTTACTCTAAGTGTGGCCCCTGAACCAGCTACGATAGCATCACCTGGAACTCATGAGAACTGCAGAATCTTGAGCCCTCTCCAGACCTACTGAGTCAGAATCTGCATTGGAAGGAGACCCCAGGTGATTTGTGGGTGTGCTCAGCCTCGGTCTACAGAGGGAGGGTCAGGAGAGAGGGAGGAGAGAGAGGGAGGGAGGGAGAGAGAGAGAGAGAGAGAGAGAGAGAGAGAGAGAGAGAGAGAGAGGGAGAGGGAGAGGCTGTCTGCCTCATCCCACCGGTGCCCTCTGGATTTCTGTGACTGTAACACAGGACTTAGATATGTGTTTCTGTATCATTTAGTTCTAGGCTATCTTATTTACGTCAAAAATCACTTCCAATATATAGGGGTTTCCTCTTAAAAGAAAATCCTGATAGCCAAGGTCATCCCAAACCAATCATTGTCAATGGCTCCAGCAAGCTGTAAAGAGCCTGCTTAGAGGCTACTCAGGTGTCCAGGCCTCTGGGGCCTATACTGACTGACCCTGATCCACTAAGACTCACCTGGGAAGCTTTAGTAAAACACCTGTGCCTGGATCCCACCCCAGAGCAATTAGCTCAGAATCTCTGAGCTTGAGGCTTAGGAATTACCTTTTTATTAAAAAAAAAAAAAAGACTCCTCAGGTGATTCTAACATGCAACCAGGGTTGAGTACTAGTTCTCTAAGACCTGAGTTACTGTTTCTGAGGTGAGTAGATTGATAAAACTAAATAACCATGAAAATGTCAAAGGCATTCTTTCTACTATCAATTCTCATGGTAAACTTCACCCCAGCCCCATATTTTATTTCTCTCCCTTTGCCCTGCTATAAATGTGCTGCTTCCAATCTTTTGTGGTCAGGGAACCATAACACTAGGTTTATTAGAATTGCACAGGTGTGAGATCTTGCCAATGTGTAAAACACAAAAGACCTGATATGTAGATTTTAAGGGACCCATGCTAGAGTATCTTTATTTATTCTTTGCTGTTTTTAGTCCTAGGTCTGGATCCTATTTTAGATAATTAAGGCTGCTGATCAGGGGAAAAAGATGTCATAGCCTTTACTCATAAGGCATGAAATGGTGTCTCTAAATGAATGGATAATCTGGGACAAGGATATTCCAGCTAGATTTCAGGGACTGATCCTAGCTTTGCCTGTTGTATAGCTACCATCTCTCTCTTTAAACTTAAGAGTTTTCTTTAGGTTTTAAGTGTTTTCCAACTTTAACATATATATGGAGATCTAGTTAAAATGCAGATTCTAATTTGGTAGAGTTGGTGGCCCTCAAGATTCTGCATGTTTAACATGCACTGGGGTAGGCTGTGGTCTGTGAACCGCCACTGAGCAGCAAGGTCCTATACTAACCCCTGCTTGACCCCTAATACCCACACAGAATGCAAATGCAAAACACAATCCATTGCCCTTACTCAAAATGCACCGAATAGTTCACCGTGACAAGGTGGGGAGTGAGGCACATACAGAGTTGCAGTGGGCACTTTGAGCTACAATGGTAGCTCCCCATTATCCAGAGGCAAGTTAAAGTTTACCCACGTTTGTGTTAGAAACATGTCTCAGCCCTGCGATTACCCCACACTCTGGGTGTTATAGTGCTACTGGTTTGCATATCAGCTTGGTTCTTCTTGTCCCACCCTCAGTTCTTTAATTTGATTGCATCAAATTAAGCCCTGATAGTATATTCAAAATTTTGTCTACATGTAAATATATGACTTTGTTTTTTTTTTTTTTTTCTGGGAAGAGGGTCCAAGGCTTTAAAAGTTAAGAACTACTGGTCACGTGGTTTATTTTCCTAATAACTAAAATTTTTCCTCTCATTTATGACAACTTAAAAGTATCATTGGATGGGGGAGAATTTTCCCTTCAAAGGATGACATTTGTCCTTGAGCTCATAAAGGTAGAAGACTAAATATAATTAAACTTCTTACTGACTCTATCAGGTAAAATGACTGCACCGTGTTACGGTTTGGAAATGTTCACAAGGAGTTTGAACACACCCCCTGATCAGGCTTGTCACCCCTTAAAGTTTAAAGACTGTGCTCCCCCAACTCCAGTGTTGTTTAGTTCTGTTTACTTTGCAAGGCATTTATTTATTTTCTCTTCTCTTCCTGCTAGCCATTACTTTCAGATGGTCTCTACGCATCTTCCTCCTAATCTGCTATCTAATTTTCCGTGACCTGATTTGGGTGAGAGGCTAAGGATGGCAAAAACAGGGTAAGAGCCATTTTTCCTCAAGCTTAGTGGCCTCACTAAGATCTTTTTCATTTCCCAGTTTGTGTTTGTGCCAAAAACCTGACCAGTGGATTAATCTGGGCATTGCTATATTGTGTTAAAACTGAGCAGACCAGTTGTGACTTATAACCT